TTCTTCGGGGCCCTGTGTCCTCTGTCCCGTGGGGCGGGTGGGCTGCGGTGGCTGCAGGGCAGGAGGCGATGCTGCAGAGGTCCCCGCCCCCGAGGCCCTTGGGAGCGGTGACACATCTCCACCTGGGGAGGAGCCGGTTTCGGAAGCAAACTGCCTTCAGGACCGAGACACACATGCTATGGGAGGGACGCGTCCGGCCCCCCAGCCCAGCCCTGGCAGGAGGTGGGGGGGGCTCCTGGTCCTGGTCCCGGAGGCCAGGCTGCGCGGGGCAGCGCGGGCTCAGTCGTCCTCCTCGTCCTTCGCCGTGGCTGTGAGGACTCGGTCCTGCACGCTGAAGCAGCCCACGAAGAAGTTGATGATGGACCGGTACAGGTGCTGCCTGAGCGGGGCGCTGTGGAGGTGATGGCCGCCGTCCGGGTAGATCTGCAGGGGGGTGAGGGGCGTGAGAAGGGGCTGGGCCTGGGCCGCCCTCGTGCGGGGCTGCGGGGCTGGCCAGGCCGGGCGCCCTGCGGGTCTCGGTTTAACCGCGAGATGCACCGCAGCCCATTTCCGGCCGTGCCGGCCGCTCCCTGTCCCGGCGACCAAGTCAGAGACGCTGGTCCAGCTGACCCTGCAGCCTCCCCCAGCTCTGAGCCCGCAGCACGGACACGTGCTCGGGGACGCCCGGCCAGGACCCCACGCCTCTGTGCGACCCCGTGGGCGTGGGGCTGCCCGGGCCGTGCCTGCCTGCGTCCTGCCCCACCGCTCCCTCGGGCGTGCCCGTGGCCAGCTCAGTGCCCGGCCTCGCTCCTGCTCGTGCCCCATGGAATGCTGGCCACGGCAGAGTCAGATCACTAAGTTGTGCCACCGCACGCACGGAGCGCGAGGAGGCCAGGGACGCAGGGGGAGCCGAGAAGACGGGAGCTCGTGACCGCGTGGTCACATGTGGTGACACGTCCCGCACCCCAGGACCTGTCCCAGTGGGACTCAGTACCAAATCTAACGCAGCTGGGGGCCCCTCGTCCCGTGACACAGGCTGCCCCTGCATTAGGGAAGGGTGGCCAACACTCTCATCCCAGGGGATTTACTGGTCCCCAGGCCCCTGCCCGACCCGGGGTCGCCCTGTTACAAACCCCTGGCACCCTAGGGTGTTTGCGGTGCTGGCCCTGTGTGCGGTCCCTCTGCTGACCCAGGAGGTCCGGGATGTGAGCTGCTCAGCCCCTTCCTGACCTAACGGCCTGCACGCGGGGTGTGGCCCACATGGCACGTCACCGCCACGGCTGTGTCCCGCGTGTCAGAGGCCATGGCGGTGACCCGGTCAGCTGTGAGCGCAACAGGTCGGGGGGATGCGTGAATGCAGCGTCTACCCGGTCCTGCCTCGCCCGCCCGCACCGGGGCCAGCTCCCTTCCTGCAGGGGCCCGCCTGGACCCGCCAGCCGCATGTGACCCTCCACCGGACAGCGACGCGGGGCGGTCAGGAGCTGGGACGTGGAGGCCGGCAGAGGCCAGTGCCGTGATCTCCGAGGGATGTCACTCGTGCACCTCTGGACCCTGAAGGCCACTGGGGTCACAGCTGCTTCACCAAAGGCACCGGTGGCCAGGGAGGAAGTGAAGGAACGTTTTAGAAGCAGCACCTCAAAGAGCCTGGCCTTGGCTGTGGGTCGGGACCTGATGCCAGGAGGCCGGGGCTGAGCGGGGTTTAGGATGGGCGCTTAACGGCGCTCGGCCCGCGGGAGGCCAGGACCCACGAGCACTGCCAGACAGCAGCCCCCCTCGCGCACCAGGGGCACCCCCGAGCTCGCTGCTGGGGTGTGGCAGCCAGCGTGGCCTTGCCCGTTGGGAGTGGGGGTGCTGCAGGTCTCAGGGGGTTTCAGCGGGACAGAGCTGTCGTCATCGGTAGGAGCAGCGAGCATGTGCACTGCGTCCCCCCGACGCGCCTGCGCCCCCCACGACCCGCACGGGCGCGTCTGCGTCGGGACGGATGCGCCCATCACCGCGGTCCCCGCCGGGTGGGAAGGGACGTGTCCCTCCAGGCACAGGAGGAGCGAGCGGGAGTCGCGCACTGACCTGCAAGCTGTAATTAGCCTTCCCCTTGATCAGGTGTGTGATGAGCTCCGCCGTGTGCTGGAAATGGATCTTTTCTGTTGAGAAAGGAAAGGGGACTTTGTCAGACCGTGTCGCCACCGCCAGGGCTTTGCGGCGGGCACGGCCTCGGCCCTTACCGTCCGCGGTCGCGTGAATGATCAGAAACCGCTGTTCCTCCAGCGCCGACACGCGGCGTGCCACCTGGGTCAGCTGTGCAGGCGGGGCGAGGGGACACAGTTAGTGGCCTCGCTGCGGGGCGGGGCGGCACGTCGGGGACGCCGGGGCGGGGCGGGGCAGCGCGTCGGGAGCGGCCTCCAGGAGGCGCAGGCGCTCAGCGGATCTCGGGGGCCTCCGGTTCCCTCCCGCCACCACCTTCGAGGCCCAGGGGCAAGGGGACAAGAGGTGGCCTCAGAGGGAGGTGACATCCTGGCCAGACAGTCCCGCCGTCCGTGCCACAGCTTCGACCTCCAGGCCACAGCCCTGCCCTGCGACACGCTCTGGCCTCTGCACTGGGCCCCGGTGCAGAAGTACGTGGGTGACGTTCCACCCCAAGCCACCAAACGTGTGACTTGGCAGGTGGCATCACAGGTTTCCGTCCCTCCACTCCGCCCCCAATAAACAGCTTATTCTCCCAAAGCGGAACTGGCCTTGGACACCGGGCAGCCTGGAGTCACGAATGCCCAACGTCTGTGGACCCTGGGAGGCACCCCCCCCATCTAAACACCCCCCAACTTTCCCCCGTCCCACGAGCTCTGGATCAGGATGTCAGTGACCCCCGAGGGGCCGCAGTCACCCAGTTCACAGGGCAGCAGGAGGAGGCCCACAGGTCTCAGAGTGGCCTCCGATGGAGGGTGGGGCACAGCAGT